TATGAAAAGTTGCTCAATGGCTCCAAGCCTCGGTTTTCTCATCTGCAAAATGAATCAGTATTAATATTGCCCTCCTAGTGTTGTGGTGAGGTCACAGCAGATGTGAATGCAGAGGCCCTGACACAGTCCCTGCTGTGTGGTTAAGTGCCCAGTTGACTCTCACTCCTGGTCTTGGAAATGATTACTTCTTCTTGCAGACCTTCTCTGGTCTCTTCTCCTTGACCTCAGATAGCTCCTGTGGACCAGGCAGCTGGATCTGGCTATTTCCTGCCTGTGTCCAAGCCCTGCTGTCTCAGCTTGACCATCAGCAGAGGCTCACTGAGCTCCACTCAGGCCCTGGCCCCACCATTCCCAGGGTAAATTGACAGATTAATACAGTATCTCATGAAACACCACAGAGATTTCAAAATGAGAGACCTAAAGAGTGCTTCCTTTATGAGAGGGCAATGCTTTGTCTTGTGGTGGCAAGAGTAGCTTTAACAGTCAGAAAATTTCAGAATGTTCCTTGGAGTCACCAAGGATAACAATGCATACTCAGGATGGGGTACAGTGGCCTCAGGGATGGAGGCTGGACCCAGTCCCTCCCCTGCTTCCCAGCCCAGTCCCACATCTGTCTATCCACCGATAGGGTCTCTATGTGAGACTGATTTGAATAAAGGACTCTGGCATATACATATAAAAATTTTAAGGTTTCAAATCACTATTTTGGAGCGAGGAGGAATGGTCTTTAGACAAGCCATACATCTTCACATTGAAATTCCAGTCCCTTCAGAAAACTTTTGAGATAAATGATTGAGAATTGGGGTACATGAATGTTAATCGCTCTTTATCTTCAGTGATACCAAGAAGCCTGCACTGGCAATCTGTGTGAGGGGGTGGCCCCTCGCTGAGTGCCCCCAAGAGGAAGGCGTGACCAAGTCTCTGTCCCCTGAGACCTCCCTGCACCAAGGTCTTTCACCAAATTGGAGGCCTAGTTTTTAAGTTGTTGAAATGATTTTTATAGTGGAAAGTCATAAGGAAGAATGAAAACACTTCATTTGAATCAAAATGTTTTACACCCTGAAAATATCAAAAATAAAATTGTCTTGAGTTTTTCATTTCTACTTAGATCTTTTTAGTTGGCTCGATTATTTAAAAGCTGTCTGGCATATTTGTGAGGATAAGGTAATAGAAAAAGTCTATTCTCTGCAACAGAGAACAGCAGCTAGGACCAAGGGCACTTTAAATCCTGGATCCATCTCCTGGTGTAGCTATTTTGAATGAGCCTTGGGGCACAGGGGTTTGTATCTGACTGAAGAGAGGCCTTTTTGTGTTACTCCCTGAGTGGAGCCCAAAGCAATTATCACCAAAGAAAACCATTTTCATCCCACTTCTCCAGGACCAAAGGCTTAAAAATTCATTGGTTTCAGTACCCTATCACATGTGGCCAACAGCAGTGGATTCCAATGATTCAAGTTCCTCAGGGCTTGAGCAGCGGGAAAACAAGGTGTCATATTCCCCAGCCTTGTGCTGAAAGGCACCGCTGTTTACTCTCATGTCCCCAAACCCATCTTGGTGGAAAACACCAGATGCTCCATCGAGTGCAAAGTTAATTACCAGTTGCAGTTCTCATGGGAGCCCCTGTCCTCATCCAGTGACAAGAAACCTTCACCTTACCAACACTAACTCCTCTTTGCAAATAAACATAGAACTTGAGCATTACAAGGTGAAAATTATGTTGTCTTTCAAAGCAGTCTCTCCGTTCTGCTAGTTGTTCTCATTCTTGCCAGCTACCAACTTCAGGGGACCCCTTCCTTGGAAGGCATCGTCCCCACATAAGATCTTAGAGTAGCAGCCTGCAAATGCGATGGAAGCTCCTGGGCTGTCCTGGTCTGGTCTGTTCATTTTACAGAGACTGAGGCCCTGTCAAGTTCTTGCCCCAGGCTCTTCCACAAGCCACAGGCAAGACAGAGCCTGGCCCCAAGACTCTAATTTCCCAGGGAGACTCTAGCTCCCCATTCTTGCATTAGTTGCCAAAAGTATCTCCCTTTTTTCAGTGTGTCCCTGGAGACTCCAAATGTCACCTCAGACATTCAGTTCCTCTCCTCTCTTCCCACCTCCCTCCATCTGCCTGGTAAATCAGTTTCTGGGAGGAGTACCTAATGGGGTTTACTATGTAAACACCCCCAGGCATTTAATACAGTTAAAGCTCTAGAGCCAAAAGAAAGACATTGATCCGGCAGAATTTCCGGCATTGAGAAGGAAGTGGGATGAGGCACAGGGAAGACATGGGACCCCCATCAGGCTCCTGGAACTTGCATCATGTAAGGCTCTCCCTCTTCTTCATGGCTGGTTGTGCCTTTAAGGGCACTGAAATCCACATGAAATTGCCAACGTTTGCTTTATTTGCTTTCCTGAAGATCAGGAAACTTAAGCCCAGAGAGTGTAAGTGACCATCCCACAGAACACTCAGCCTGCAGATGCTGGAGCAGGGACTCAAACCAGGACCTGCCACCTTTCCACGCTGCCTCCTCCCCCCGAGTGGGCATCACAGATCCTGTTCATATGCAACAGCTCTCACTGCTGCTGGTTGCAGTCCTGCTTTGTAATCCAGGGTGGGTTTTGCCCTCCTCAGCCACCCACCAGCTCTGATGTCATCTGATTCCTTTGCTGCAAATGCAAATAAGTCTGATCTCAGGATGTGCCCTCATGCAATTAGCAGAAACCAGACTACTCTAAAATGCTGGGCTGACTGCTTGGTGCCTAGAGCTCCCTGAGGAGCTGCTGGTGGCGGCAGAACACCTCCATCCTTGGGATTGCCTCCAGATCTTCCAGGCACACAGGCTGTGACAGGGCCCCCACCCAGCTATCAGCTGCCATCACCACCACCTCCATGCCAGCTGCTCAAATCCAAGGACCTCTGCCACCTCCTCCTGCAACCAACCTAGGTGCGTTGGAACATGCATCCCACCTTTATAGTATACAGAATATGAAGAGGGCAAGGGAATCATAGCTTCTGGACTGCAGCAGGGCCTCTCCCAGGGTCTTTTACATGTACACAAATCAGATGAGAATGGGTTTCTTATGAGTATAAGGGGAGAATCCAATCTGATGGTTTGGAAAATAAAGAGCCATGCCTACGGTGCAGCCGTATGGATTAGAGCAGTGTCTCCAGTGGCATGCCACAGGGCTCAGTCCTCAGCTGTCCTGTTAATTTCGTTTTCATCTGTGCCTTATAGGAAAATACAGGGCAGCTTCATGGAGTGGATGACAGCAAGTTTAGAAATGGTAAAGTGTATGTGGTTGGCATACAGTAAAGAGTCAATAAATGGCATGTGGTTTTTGTATTGTGTTTGTGAGTAGGATGATGTTGAAGGGAAAGGTGAGTGTATTCTCTACATACCAAGTCTTCTAAAAGATCAAGTGATTCAGATCAATGGGAAGGTCCAATACTTAATTCCAAAAAAGTAATTGCACATGCACAAGCCGGGGTCCTCTGGCTGGCAGCAGCCTGTGTTACAGGACTGCTTTGGGTTTTTGCTGATGGTAGCTGGTGACCATCAAAAACACACAAAGCAGCAAAGTCTTCCCAGCATGGGCTCCAATCACAGCAGGGTGGCCTCAGTCTCTCTGCCCAGTCAAGCAAGACCTCAGAAACTTGCTCATGGGAGAAGGACCATGACAAGGAAGACACTTGACCCCAAGGAGCGATGGCTGGGTGAGCTGGGGGGTTTCTGACCTGGAAACCCAGATGCCACACAGGTCCCTGTCCGTCATTAAAGGGAGAAGATGAAGCTGATGGACTCCCTGTGGCTCCAGCAGAAAACATAGCCTTAATATGGGGAGGCTGAGGGAGGGAAGAATCTACGGGCAGGTGGGGCAGTCAAAGGATGGCCCAGACAGACTGGGTGGTGGGAGCCAGCTCCCTGCTGCTGGAGAAGGTAGGGAGGAATCTGTAGAAGAGGAGAAGCAGCAGCCGGCCACTGTGATTCAAGGACTCTGACTTCTAATCAATCACCAGGGAGAGACTGAAGCTTTTCCCTGGCGTTAATTCTTGCCTCCTTGTTAAGAAGTCTGATTAGGTTGGAACAGGTCACGTGATAGAATTAATTTGTCTTGCCTGGGCTCCTCAAGACTCATAGACTGACGTGCAAATCCCTAGAGGCCAGTGCCTGGCTGGGTTTTAATCAGGCTGATCAACCTTCAGCCCCAGGAGGTTTAAAAGAAAGGAAAATATTCCCAAACACATTCCGAGTCTTATTCCATGCAATTCAACCAGACTTTGCTGCTGCGACTGGTGCTCTTATGGAGTTGAGGGCTTCTGTCCTTTCTGGGCTCACACTTCCTACAGTGGATTCCACAGGGGAGGCACCACCCCTTACCTCTGCTTAGAAGGAGAGAGAGCCTAGAGTTTGGCGAAAGGGACGATGGGAAGTGGAGTCTCATTTGAAAGCACTGTACAAATTATTTGAACTGTGTACGGAGGCCAGGTCAGTTCTGTACAGTATTCCAGGACCTTCGTGTTAACCAGTGGGTTCCCAGGAAGGCTGCCAGACAAGCCCACAAGACACTGCCCAGGCAGTGTGGCTGCAGCACACGCAGTGAGAAGGGAGGACCAGGAAGGGCCTAAGGAGCAGGTATTCGATTTGCCCTCAGAAGATGAAATTCAGTAGCCAGAGAAGTGTTGGAACCAAAATCCTCGTTTTAGAATCATTTTGTGGAAGCAGCTACTTTGGCTTGAGATGGCCCCGGGACACCCCCACCAGCATGTGCTGCCACTTCCCTGACCCTTCACCTAACCCTGGACGGTAGCTACCTTCCTGGCTGTAAAGGAAAGGCCACATTTATCCCAAAAGCCAGGATCTGCAGGAGGCAAACAGATGTGGGGAGCCCCTGGGATGAGGATCTGTGAGGGTGACCTTCCCTATTAAACAGGACATCTGACCATCTCACTCCTGGCTTTATCCAGGAGGTAGATGGGCGTGAAATCAATTCTGCTTGCTGCATATCTGATTTCCTAGAGCCCACTTGCCATTCGAGGAGACATCGTCTGCGCTGCAGCCGGGGATCGCTATGGAGACTAGAGGACTGGCTGACTCAGGGCAAGTCCCCTTCACCAGCCAGGGGCTCACCAGGTAACTGACCAGACTCAATACCCACCTTGCATGGGGGACGCTTCGGCAGAAAGAAGGTAGCGACCTCTCAGGAAGAAGTGCTAGGTGGGGGTGGAGCTGAAGATTTGGAAATGAAAGGGTCAGGAGCAGAGCAGCCCACAATCTATCGGTGAGTAATTTCCTCTTGGGTCAGATGTTCTGAGCGCAGAAAAGTCTAAGAAAAACTACCTTTCTCTGAAATTGCTTAATAAAAACTGACATTGAAGTACTTGCTCAGTTTTAGAAGAATTCAGGAAAAAAAGCCAACCAGAGAAGGTGGTAAGAGCAGCCAGCCGTGGGAGACCTTTGATTGGGTGGACACAGTGGTGTGCCGAGGGTGATGAGGGTGAGGTCTGCAATGGCTCTGGCAGGGTCTCACAGGTGCGCATCTGGACCCCGGGCAGGTGTCCTTGCAAAAGCGTTTGTTTGCAAGATTAGTGAGACTCCAAGCTCTGCCTCCCTCTGATGGCCTCCATACTCCAGCTTCAACAGCTGCCCCATCTTGAGGAGGTCATTTCACCTTTTCAAGTCTTATCTAGAAATGCATCCAACAATGGCTACCCCACAGGTGGCTTGAAAGCTGCATCAGAGCCAAGCCACAACTCATGGCAGGTGCTCGACAAACACCAGGCTCATTGTTTCTTTCCACCACGTTGTTTTTTCCAACGCCAGAGTTTTATGTAGTCATATATTCTACACTTCATACTTAAGGTTATTGCAAAAGAAGTTCACTTGTCTACTTATTCTTCATGCTTTTCAGTATGAAGGATGCTTCTCCGCCATTGTTTATTTAACTAGTTCATTGCAGCTGGGCATTTAAGTGATGTTCAGTGTTTTTGTTTTACCAATAAAATGCTGTCTTACGGTTCTTTGTCATAAGAAAGAAAGAGAGCACCTTTAAATCAGCTCAGTAGAGCTGGTATAGGAAGCTAGCAACACAAGCCATCTCAGGGAAACAGAGCCAGCAGGGCTTGAGGGAGGGGACCTGAGGAGGCAGCCGCCTTTCCCTTCCCATTTTTCTCATGGAGTTTTGTGGTCTTTGTGCTTCTTTCTGCATGTCCCCTCCGTTCTGGCTCTCTCTGTTCCCATCAGGCTGGAAACAGCGTTCACCATGTGACCTTGAGTTGAAGCACCCAACTCCATCTTGGAGTGGCTCTCAGTGCAGGGGCTGGAGTGGCTGTCTGTGTGTCACTTGTCTGTCCTAGTCCTGTTGTCTGAGGCTGGAGGAGGGAGTATTACCTCAGTTGCACCCTCTCGGCAGAGGAAGGGTGTGGGTACAGGAAGTGTCTGCAGCAGAGAGGCGGGGCTGGGCAGATACCTCAAGGTATGTCTGTGGCAGCAGCTGTAAGCATCTGTCTACAGGGGCATTTTCTTAGTCAATATATTCCCTTAGGTTAAGGTCGTAAGTATGTGAGTAGGGTCAAGGTATGTGACAATTCACGGTTTAGTTCCAGGTTGTTCAGTACAGACTCTGGCCAGGACACTCCATCCAGGGGAGGGCACTGCAGATGCCAAATCAGGGAAACCAGAAGCCAAGAAACAGAGTGGAGCCTCTGGGCCTGTTCCCCGCTGCTCCCCTCTGGCAGAGACACCAGCGGTGTCTTCAGCAGGGCGAAGGAAAGGCCCCTCATGGCCAGTGTGGGCTCAGACGCGCTCTGGGGACTGGCACTACGGTTGCAGGTGCTGGAGCTCATGGCAAGGTCCTGGCAGGGCCGGGCTCCAGGAGAGGGCTCAGGTCAAATTGCAAAGGAACCTCCCAGGCCTGAGGAGAAAACTCTAGTTTATATAAGAAAACATGAATAAGATAAAAACTAGGAAAAGACTGCAGGTTGTACCTGGACGCCTGTTCCTTTAAGCCTTGCTCTATCATATCTCAGGGGCTTTAAAATAAATAAACAAACAAATAAATAAATCGAAAGCTCACTCTGGATGTTGTCATGGTATAAAACCCACATTGCTTTACTCTCCCTGTGCTTGGCTGTCATAGCAAAGAGCTCTCCACTGGGCAAAAGGATTGAGCTAACCCCCGTTTGAAGGATTGTGCCTTAGGCAGTGTCCAAGCACTACAAGGGCAAATCGTAATAAAGAGAGTGTCCCTTTCGGGGGATGCATTGCCCCTGACTGCGGGATGGAGAGAGAAGGGGATAAATGGTCTCCATGGAGCCGAGATGCAAACTTAGACCACAGGTTCCCAGCACCCACGCCCTGCTGGCAGTCACTGCTTCTGCCAGGCCCCTCCAGACAGAGAGTCGGGGGAGGGAGAGAGCGAGAAAGAGTGGGAGGTAGGGGTGGGGAGCTTTTCCTCTCCTGGCTCAGTGCCTGTGTTGCCTCCCAGGTTGTCGCACCTGGTCTTTTCGCTGCGCAGGTGGGCCACCAGGCACGTGCACCACCAGGACCAGGGACCGGCCTCTTTTCCGGATCATTTTCATGGAGCCGAGCTTAAGGAGGTGTCTAGCCAAGAAAGCAACGTCCAGGCAACTACGGACGTCCAGGAGCCAGAAGACAGAGGGAGAAGGTAAGGAACAGGAAAACAGAAGGGCCTCCTGTGCCCGCTGGGGCCGGGCAGGAAGCCTCTGCTTTGCTGGGTCCTGTTTGGTTGCAGCACAGGTGACCTGGAACCTCATCCCCGTGTGCTGTTCATTGAAGAAAATGTTTGCTCTGGGGGTAGCACTTCATGCTCTAACAGCCTCCACTGAGTTGGAGAGGCCTTGCAGGAGAGGAAACCCTTGAACCAGAGCTCCCAGCCTCATTTGGCTACTAACCTCATCCTTCACAGGGCTCTCATTAGGATCCCCTGGAAATCACGTTCTCAGAAACTCATCTGGGGATGCTGGCCTTTCCCATCTCTCTTCATCAAAGGACCTTCATCCTAGACTGCAGTGTGACCCATCTTGCTCAAAAACAGGGCCTTTTATAGCAGGATGCCTGGGGAGTGCCTAAATGGTACTCTCAATGTTATGTGTAGACACACATGCATTCTTCTGGGAAGAGAGTCCACAGGTTGGTCAGAATTTTCAAGGGGAGCCATCCGTGTCCCAGATAAGGTTGAGAAACACCAGGTGGGGAAGGGCGCAATGGTGGGAGTAGAGTGAGGGGTGGGAGAGTGCTGGCTTTCTGGAGGGAAGATCTGCAGAACCAGGGCCTCTGTACATCTTCTTGCATCGCTCCCACCCTGACTGGGAGATAAACCTGCAGTCAGACTGGCAGCCCCCTACACACAGACACAGGGCCGCTGCCTCCCCTCCTTACACACAGACACAGGGCCGCTGCCTCCCCTTCTGTCTCGTTCGTGAAAAGTCTCCCCAGCAGGTGGTCTGCAGAGAGACCCTTGGGCCAGCACAGGTTGGATCAGTTGTCGCTGAGCATAGAGGGTCTCTTTAGGACACTCAGGTCTGTCTGGAAGGGAGGAGAGGTGAGACATGGAGGGGAAGCTGACCTCCCCTCAGCCTCCCAAACAGGCAGATTCTCACCCAGAAGCTATTTTCTGAGAAGTGAGAAGGCGGTGGGGGGGGGCGGGGGTCAAAAAACTCTTCTTTGGTTGAATCTTCCAGATAATGCTGAGATCTATAAGATGTAAAGATGGAAATAAGCATGATTATTGCAGAACAGACAGTCCCTATATAATTTGCTAGAGAAAAAGCCATCTGCTTTTATGTCAACGAGGAGAAGATGGGTTCAGGTTTGAGGCTTTTCAAATGGGCATATGAGGATCCCTGGGGCGTGAAGGTGATAAAGTCTCAGGAAAACCAGTGGCTCTTTCTGGAGTGTCCATTTTAATTCCATATTTGTGTGGAGAGTGGCAGTGGGTATTTGTATGTCATAGATTATGCAGGGGATGGCAAACTGCATAATCATTTTTAAGACAGAATATGAGCGCTCAAGGACATGGCTTGCCAGCGACTGCTTTAGGACACCCAGGGAAAGGCGTGAGAACCCCTGGCTGAGCTGGCAAGGCCAGAGTTTCCACATGCGCTTCGACCGCAAACCCTTGGGTTTCCTGGGCTGTGGGAAGGAGGCTGGGGAGGGCCTGGGCTCTGGCCCAGAGAAGTACAGGGACATCCCAGGCTCCCAGGGCTGGGCATCCAGTCCCCTCTGGGAGCACCATGAAACAGAAAGACAAGGAGGCAGACAGGTAAGAAAGAGGTCAAAGTGGAGATGGAGGGGGTAGGGGGAAGAGGTTTCTCAGCAAGCCAGCCTGACTGGTTTAATTCTTTTTGGACAAGCAAAGACTTCCTTATTTAAATTGGCCAAATTACCTTCTTACATCCTTAGAGATGAATGTTAGACTATCTGTCCATTTCCCAGTGGGATTAGACTAATGGGGGAGTTGAGCTAGGACCACATTCAGGGCAGACACCAACCACCCCGCAGACATCTGAGCCATCACTCTCGGGCAGGGTCAGGATGGGCAGACGGTTGCAGTGGTGTGGATGGTGTCAGTGAATCAGCAAAGCTTCCAGAGGGTGAGGATTTTGAATTTTTCTGGAGGCAAAGTCTCCACTGCAAAGCCAAGTGTATACAGAGACAGGTCCTAGTTCTCCTGTGTGGGTTTGGCTTTGTGGGATTAAAGGCACAGAGGCATGGTGAACACACAGCTGCTGCACCCCACAGAGCCGAACCTTCCCTTCTTCACAATCCCACGGCGGTTCCGGTTCCTGGGAGATTTTCGGATGAGCAGAACCAATCCAGAAATAAGCAGTTGTGGCCATATATTAGATGGGGAGAGGGAGATTTGGGCAGGATGAGCTGAGGTCATCATTTGGGGGTTATTTGGCTGGACATTCAGCATCGTGGAATAAGCGCCTCAGGAGTCAGGTGGGGGTGTCACCTGCCTCAGGCTCCGGTCCCCGGGGTCTCCTGTGAGGAGTCTGCCTCTTAACCCAGCCATGTGAGGTGCCCTGCGAGGCTGCCTGGCTTTCTTAACCCAGCCATGTCAAAAATGTGTTCTGGCAGACAGAGATACTACCTTTTCCTACAGAACACCGTGAAGTACTACAAAATGCAACTTTACATAAACTGCAAACAGCAACATCCTTGCCTAAGCTCAATTACTTGTCCCGCTATTTGGAAGAGCCTTTGCAGCGGAGGGAGCAAGTTGCTGCTCCTGCGGCTGCGGGCTGCTTCCATCACTGGGCAGAAGGTGCAAGACCTCCTCCACCCAAGAGGCCTGGAAGTGCCGAGGGCAGAGGCCACAGGGGTCCATTTCTGTGCCCCTCTTAGTGCTTGGCACATCGCCCCACCCAGGGTGGAACAGAAGGAAATTGAGTGAAATGTGAGGCAGGGAAGCTGGAAGGGACTCAAACGGCTGAACCTTCATTTTTTCAAAAGCCTCAGTTTAGCCATGTTCACCCTCTCTTCCCCCAAGTCTTTTACCCGAGCTAACTAATAAAGCATTTTGGCTTTGACAGTACCACCCCGTATCCTTCAAGCTGTGAGTGCAAAGGCTGGGAGCAGTGGGATGGGGGGGTGGGGGCGGCATGGTAATCCCCTGGGGAAATGGCCCCAAGGAATGTAATCTGCGTTCAGACCTTTGCTGTTCTCTCTACCTCCCTGCAGCGCCTGGCCCCTGGCCAAACACAACACTAACACCAGCAACAACAAGGAGGAGGAGTAAGTACCAGCCCAGCAGAGCCCTCCCCAGGCCCGGCGCCCGCCACCCGCCACCCTGTAGAAGCCCCGCTTGGCCTCTCTCCCGAGTGCTCCTGCTCCCCCTCCCAGAACACCAGTAGAATATTTTAGAATCCTGTTCCTTTCGTTGGAAACCCATCCCTGTGAACAGAAGTGGGGCAGGGGCGAAGTCCGTATGATTTCTTGGGGAAGTTGTTTGATCTCTTTGGCTCTCATTTTTCTCACCTATGAAGCAAAGGAATTGGATCAGATAAATGATTTAAGCTTTAGCACTCTCTACCACGATGTATCTGAGGGTGCACAGCCGGAGCTCCTGACAGAGCAGAGGAGGGTCTCCTCAATGATACAAAGGCATTTTTTTATTCTACAACCTTAGGCTCTTGTGTCCCAGTGAAATGCCCTTGTCTTAAGGCCAGTTTGGGCCAATTTGGTGGCATAATCAGAGCAGTGGAAAAAGGCATTTAAATATGTCCAGAGAATAGCCTCTTGAGAGGGTGACCTGCGGTAATTCCTTTCTGTCACCAGATACTAAGATGGCAGATTAGGGAGAGCGTGGCACTATTGGGGAGGAGGAGGCTTAGTTGGAGATTAGGAGAAAATAATGATATCAGCAAGAAACGCTGATTTCTTGACTTCCAATTGACAGAGAAGTGGGCCAGGGGTTTTTCTTGTTATTTCTCTTTTTGTTCCTCAGATAGAACATTTTTCTATTTCTCTCCATGAAGGAAGCATGTCTTTTGTTTGCATACACTTGAACATCAAATCCAGAGACCCAAATGCCAACCGTAAAGAAAAATGAGATGATTTTTGCTACAAAGCAATAGCTAGAGTGATGTGTGTTCAACTTATAGCCAAACCTGACACTAAACACCCTTGCAGCTGCAGTATTGAGTCTTTCAGGCAGAGAAAGGCTCCGACTACTGAAACCACAGACAGATCCTGGGGATTTCTAGGTGTCCTTGTCCTGGGGCTGGGGTGTGGGCAAGGATGTGGGTGGGCAGCACTGGCTGCACCTGGCTCTTCAATCTTTCCATAAATGGGCTCGCTTCACGGGTCCACTCTGAAGCCAAGAACTAAGGGACAAAACTGGGAACTGTCCCAAAATAAGGACACCTGGGCACAAAAAAGAAATTCTTTATGAACACCTTCCCCCACTCTTCCACTCCATTTCTGTCATTTTCACTTGCTTTCATTGGTCCTGAATAATTTTTCCCTCCTCCATCAAACTGTTCCCAGACAAAATTTTGCGACTCTGTGTAGGGTTCTTTTGGGGCAGTGCTGGGTGGATTTGGGGATGCAGCCGGATGGTGCTAGGTCTTTCCTAGGCCCTCAGCGGTTTGGTAGCCAGAGGAAAGGCCAAGGCCTGTAATCCAAGGCCACATATCTTGCACAATATATGTGCAATGTGATTAAACTGCAGGGCAAAGCTCACCCAATAAGCTTGAGGGCAGTGCCCTCTGCTGGTGTCTTGACATTAAGACTCCAGTGGCTGAAAACAGATCAGAGTTCCTGTCACCCTGGAGGACAGAGGAGGGGTAACTTTCCTTGCTCTTTTCATTTAATGGTTTTAACATCCTTTTTTTCCTATTCACTTTATTGAAATATGCTTGCTGAAAACTTGGAAAGCAGGGAAAGCACACAGGAGCATACACACACAAAAATCGCACTTCATGCTATGCTAACCATGGAATTCCACTATCAGAGATAGCCCCTCTTAACAGGTTGGCAAATAGACTTCTGTCTTCTTCCTGGGCATGTATATTGAATACACAGACTGACAAATATATTTTATATGTACGTATACTTGTTTCCAAACTTGTACATCTGTTTCCCAACTCAGTTACCTTAGAGCTTTGTGACCTTGGCCAAGTCTGTTAGTCCATTCTCACGTTGCTGTAAAGAAATGCCTGGGACTCAGTAATTCATAAGAAATGTGGTTTAATTGGCTTGAGATTCTGCAAGCTGTACAGGAAGCACAGCAGCTTCTGCTTCTGGGGAGGCCTCAGGAAGCTTGCAATCATGGAGGAAGGCAAAGGGGGGGCAAGGCGTCTCACACGAGGCAGCAGGAGGAAGGTGGGGTAAATGTCCCCCCGTGTCATCCCGCAACAAGGCAGAAAAGAAGGAAGAGAAAAAAGAAGAGAGAAAAAATTACCTAAAACAAGAGGAGGAAGGACTGACGGGGTGCCATGGTCCCACCAGGCCTGACCCCTCCCTGCAGGGGTCCAGGACTGGGTATCTTGGAGCAATGCTATCAGGGGACCTTAGCGTCAGCCCTGGAGGGGAGGAGCTGCTTGGACCTGAGGAAAAGTCAGTCCCAGGCTGGAGACCATGCCTCCTGAGACCATGTGAAGCCCACATCTTGCAGAATGAATCCTCGTTGAGCTCTCGGAACGCAAGGGGCGCTTACAAGTAAACAGAGTTGCTTGTCTGCAGCCTCAGGTGGGCAGCGGGGGGCTGTCCCTGTGAACCCACTCATGTGCCCCCACTCGATGCATTTTGTTTGCCCTCACAAGTGGGCCACACAGTCAGGGTAGGCTGAGGGCTTCTCTGGGGCACTGGAAGGTACAGTGTTCACAAATGTTCACCTGAATTCAGGGTAATGAGAGCTGTTGGGAATGTCCCAAAGCCCAGTCAGTGAGCAACCTTGTACTTGCAGCTGGAGTCCAGTAGCACGATCTCAGCACACTGCAACCTCCGCCTCCCGAATTTGAGCAATTTTCCTGCCTCAGCCTCCCGAGTAGCTGGGACTGTAGGGATGAGCCACAATGCCCGGCTAAGGTGTTTTTTTTTGTTGTTGTTTAGTTTTGTTTTGTTTTGGTATTTTTAGTAGAGACAGAGTTTCACCATGTTGGCCAGACTGTTCTTGAACTCTTGACCTCAAACGATCTGCCTGTCTTGGCCTCCCAAAGTGCTGGGATTACAGGCATGAGCCACCATGCCCAGCTACTGATACCCTTCTAATAAGCAGAAGAGGGATTAAGGGCCTCTTCTAGGAAACCTGCTGTTTGTGAATGCAGGGGGGAGGTGCTGCTCCTCCCAGGTGAAGGGAGGAAGTCACTGGCATCTCCGATGTGGCACAGGAGCACTTTGAAGGCCTGGGCCAGCGTGGGTCACACAGGATGGCAGAGAGGACATGTGGACCCAATGAAAAGGAAGTCTCGGGCCGGGCGCGGTGACTCAAGCTTGTAATCCCAGCACTTTGGGAGGCCGAGGCGGGTGGATCACGAGGTCGAGAGATCGAGACCATCCTGGTCAACTTGGTGAAACCCCGTCTCTACTAAAAATACAAAAAAAATGAGCTGGGCATGGTGGCACGTGCCTGTAATCCCAGCTACTCAGGAGGCTGAGGCAGGAGAACTGCCTGAACCCAGGAGGCGGAGGTTGCGGTGAGCCGAGATCGCGCCATTGCACTCCAGCCTGGGTAACAAGAGCGAAACTCCGTCTCAAAAAAAAAAAGAAAAGGAAGTCTCCAGTACAGCTTGTAGACCTGAATCTACAGGACATTCTGCGAATAAAAGCTGAGCACTATAAGGGATGTATTTCAGTCAATGTTGTTCCACATAACCTAGGTTGTTCCCAAGGTTTTGCTGGAGGGGTGGGATCCAAGCCCTTGGAAATGAGCCTTTACAACATCTGCACAAACACAGTGAGGGAGGTGGACAGGGTTCCCGAGGAAATACTGTGGGGCGCCCTAACTCTGTCCAGAGAGGCGCTGCCTCAGAACTACCCAGGAAAGGCTTAAATGCACATTTCCAGACCCCAGCCCTGGAAGAGGTGAGTGGGCTCTGGGAATCGGCATGTTCTGGAAGCTCCCCCAGACTTCAGCAGACCTCTGTACGCTGCCATCTGCGTTTTCATTCTCAGCATTCTAAAGGGTGTGGATGTTGCCATGGGCACATGGGAGTGTCATCACCATGACCTTATTTATGTATTTATTTTTCTTGAGATGGAGTCTCACTCTGTTGCCCAGTGCAGTGGTGTGATCTCAGCTCACTGCAACCTCCACCTCCCAGGTTCAAGCAATTCTCCTGCCTCAGCCTTCCAAGTATCTGGGACTACAGGCACCCGCCACCACACCCAACTAATTTTTGTACAGTATTTTTAGTAGAGATGGGGTTTCACGATGTTGCTAGGATGGTCTCGATCTCCTAACCTCGTGATCTGCCCACCTCAGCCTCCCAAAGTACTGGGATTACAGGCATGAGCCACTGCACCCAGTCGTCATCATCCTGACCTTATAGTCGACCATGACTTCCTGGGACTGAGCTGGAAGAGAAGGACCTCAGTTTGTGCCTCAGTTTCTCCTTTTAGAAATAGAAGATTTCCCAAGAGGACCATCAGGGTGTTCTGAAGCATGAGTGGGAACTGAGCTTCAGATGGACAGTCAGGCTCCGGGCTGTGGGGCCCCCTCAAGTCCAGAGTCTACCCTACCTTCCAGCCTGTCTTCCCCTACAGGGACTCCCTTGAGACTAAGAGGACCATGTCATGGACAGCCACATCTTGGGCTTCAGCCTATGGTCTCTAAGCAAATCCAGATCTCTAAAACACTCCAAAGCTGCAGTCTTGCAGCACAGTGCACTGTTTGTGTCTGTGTGTTTCCAGGAAGAAGAAGGAGAAGAAGGATGGTTTCGTGGTGGACCCCTCCAGCAACCTGTACTACCGCTGGCTGACCGCCATTGCCCTGCCCGTCTTCTATAATTGGTGTCTGCTTATTTGCAGGTAAGCGACAGGGGTGGGAGGGGCAGCGGAAAGGAGGGAACCAGAGCACCAGGCCAAGGAGGCAGAGTTCCAACTCTCACTCGCGAGGCCTGAGGCCTGGGTCCCTCACAGCCACCACTTAGCTTTTGTGCCTCAGTTTCTCCTTTTAGAAATAGAAGATTTCCTGAGCCGGGCGCGGTGGCTCAAGCCTGTAATCTCAGCACTTTGGGAGGCCGAGGCGGGTAGATCACGAGGTCAAGAGATCGAGACCATCCAGGTCAACATGGTGAAACCCCATCTCTACTAAAATACAAAAAATTAGCTGGGCATGGTGGCGCGTGCCTGTAATCCCAGCTACTCAGGAGGCTGAGGCAGGAGAATTGCCTGAACCCAGGAGGCGGAGGTTGCGGTGAGCCGAGATCGCGACATTGCACTCCAGCCTGGGTAACAAGAGCGAAACTCCGTCTCAAAAAAAAAAAAAAAAGAAAAAAGAAATAGAAGATTTCCCAAGAGGACCATCAGGGTGCTCCGAAGCATGGGTAGGAACTGAGCTTCAGGTGGACAGTCAGGCTCCGCACTGTGGGGCCCCCTCAAGTGAGTGGTACGAGGAGGATGCAGGGCAGTTGCTGCTCTTCGGAGGCATAAGTGGGCAGTTCTGAACACCCTGCAGGGTAGGGAGGCAGGGGTGAGTTGCTTCTCTCTCTCTCTCTTTTTTTTTTTGAGATGGGGTCTCACTCTGTTGCCCAGGCTGGAGTCCAGTGGTGCAATCTTAGCTTACTGCAACCTCTGCCTCCCAGGTTCAAGCAGTTCTCCCACCTCAGCCTCCTGAGTAGCTGGGACTACAGGGATAAGCCACAATGCCAGGCTAATTTTTTTTTTTTTTAATTTTTAATAGAGACAGGGTTTCACCATCTTGGCCAGGCTTGTCTTAAACTCCTGACCTCCAATGATCCACCCACCTCGGCCTCTCAAGGTGCTGGCCGCACCTAGCCACTGCTACTCTTCTAATAAACAGAAGAGGATTGAGGGCCTTTCCTAGGAAACCTGCTGTTTGTCAACGCAGAGGGGAGATGCTGCTCCTCTCAGGGGAAGCCAAGGACCTGGGCTTTTCTGAGCATGCCTCCAGGGTGGGGATACCAGAGGGAATGTTGCTGAGCACGCTGCCCACCAAGGATGCAAGGAGCTGCTGCTGTTGGCGGTGGGGGGAGCGGGGCAGGCAGGGACTTTGGGGCATTTCTGAGGAAGCCTGCAGGCTGCAAGCTGCAGAGTGGGAGGCGGGATGACCTGCTGCTCTCTCTAGGTAAGCAAGGGGTTTGGGGGGCCTTCCCAGCAGGCCTGCTCCAGGACATCGATGCGAGGTAGGCTGCTGCTGCTCTTCTGGGGGTACACAGGAGGGCTTAGGGGGCTTCCCAAGCAAGTGTGCGGGACCGGTGTGCAGAGGCAGGTCTCCGCTCTTCTGAGCTGCATGGGGCCAGATGCATGTGAGAAGAGACGACGCCTTTGGGGCTCTCCTGAGCCAGCACACAAAATGAGGATGCAGAGGCGAGTCCTGCCCGTCCTTCTGAGAGTGGGCAGTGGGTTTTGGGGTGCTCCTGAGCAAGCCTGCAAGACAGAGAGTCACTGCTCTAAGAGGCTATTTCGTGAGTTTGGGCATTCCAGATCATGCAGCACGTCAGGGATGCCATCATGTGGAAGCAGAGGCTTTCGATTATCTGAGCAAAGAGTGATCTCCGGCCCTACCTTGCAGGGAAGGTGGAAAGAGGAAGAACTTGGAGCGTGTCTTAGTGAGCAGGCAGGATGGGGTGCTTGGACACGCTGCCGCTCTCTGCTGCACGAGGGCTCTGGGGAGGCAGAGCTGGGCACTGTTCTCCTCCAGGTGGGCAGGACACTTTGGGGTGCTGAGCAAGCTGCAGGTGGGCGGCAGGGACAGGCTGCTGGGCCCGTGAGGGTAGAAGGAGAGCTGGGGGTGCTGCCTGTGTGGGAAACAGCAGAAAGATGGAGAACGTGGAAAATATTTACTGTCTGTTCCGTTGTTAATTTCGCTGAAATTCTCCTATTTTTGTCGAAATTTGACCCCAGAAAGGGCAAGTCCTTAGCTCCTTTACCTGACTCTGCCAGTGAGACTTGGAAAATGGTACCTCCTGAGATTTTATAGCTCTGTGCTGAGGGGCAATGAAGCTGCTCTTTGGGGTCAGTCCCAGCTCTTCTCAGGAGCTCTGTGACTGTGGGACAGAAAAGTTTCTCAGAGACAGTGTTCTCTCATCAGAAGCTGGGATGATCACGCTGAAGTGGTGACACCGCAGGCAGGCAGGGCCATTCCCGGATGATGTGACCCACGACGTCAGCACAGAGCCGGTGCCCACATGTGGGCGGTCCATGCTCCAGACACACACACAGGCGTCCATCTCCCACTTGGCTTGTTTAGGGCCTGTTTTGATGAGCTGCAGTCCGAATACCTGATGCTGTGGCTGGTCCTGGACTACTCGGCAGATGTCCTGTATGTCTTGGATGTGTTCGTGCGAGCTCGGACAGGTGGGTGTGCCCTGGGCCTGGGGAGGGACCATGGCGCCCACAAGAGTGTTCTGAGAGACCCAGCACGGTACATGGGACGTTATCTACCTTTGACCATCAGAGGCCAGGCAGATCTAGGGACCGCCGACCATGAGGGTAGGTGGTGCTGCCTCAAGCCCCTCTACACAGAACCCCTGGACAGGACACTGAGCAGGGGCCAGGACACCTAAGCTGTAGGGTCTGCTCTTCCAACAAGCTGTGTGACCTTGAGCAAGTCAGATTGTCTCTCTGGGCCTCGTTTTTGTCGCCTCTGAAGTAAGCAGGCTGGGCCTGGCACAGTGGCTCATACTTTGGGAGGCCAAGGCAGACAGTTCACTGGAGGTCAGGAGTTCAAGACCAGCCTGGCCAACATGGTGAAACCCCATCTCTACTAAAAATACAAAAATAAGCTGAGGCCAGTGGCATGTACCTGTAATCCCAGCTACTTGAGAGGCTAAGGCAAGAGAATTACTTGAACCCCAGGAGGTGGTGGTTGCAGTGAACAAAGATCATGCCACTGAACTCCAACCTGGGTGACAGAGTGAGACAGGCTGAACTGCAATCTCAAAGGACCTCTCTCGCTCTCACTGCTCAGTACTGAAGTGAGCAGGAAGGAGAGCTCAGGCAATCTTGGAGTTTCTCTTCTTGGACAGTCAGAGGATCCAGGACATGTTACTCCATGGCTTTCAGAGAAGTTTTAACATATGAAGAATGAAAATCTGAAATAGGGCCCAGGTGAATGAGAACGTCCTTCAAATCACCTCTGGTTGGGGATGGGGAAGGATACCCATCCACTCATTTCTTAGGTGCTGAACTGTGTGTCCGTGCGATACCTTTTTCTAATCTGCACAAAGATACTGTCTAAGCTGGTAGAGGCTCTGCCTTTTGCCTCCAAGATTTTTGAACTAAAAACTGCCAGGCCAGGTGTGGGTGCAGTCACATGTAATCCCAGCACTTTGGGAGGCCAAGACAGAAGGGTCATTTGAGGCCAGGAGTTCCAGACTAGCTGGCACAGTACAGCAAGATCTTGTATCTACAAAAATATATATAAATAAATAGCTAGGCATGCTGGAGTGTACCTATAGTCCTAGCTACTCAGGAGGCTGAAGTGGGAAGATTGCTTGAGCCCAGGAGGTCAAGACTGCAGGGAGTCATGGCCTCAGGTGACAGAGTAAGACCTTGTCTCAAAAAAAAAAAAAATGGTAAAATAAAATAATTCTATGTCATAGCTGTTGATGTAAACACCACCAGATCACAGTAGCCAACCCCCATGTGGGTCCATATACAAAGCATTTCAAGCACGTCTTGCTTCTTCGCTAGAACCATCGCATGAGACGAGAAGCGCAGGCATGATTACCTCCAGCTTGCTGATTTAGAAACCAACGTCAGAGACACCAAGTGATTTGCCACGGTTACTAAGCCATGCCAGGCTGGTCCCCCATTTGCTTCCACACCGATGCCTAGCATCATAACTTAGAAGACCTCAGATATACAGCCTGAGGCTTGCCCAGGTGACCTAGCCAGCCCTGGCCATCTGCCCCTCTGCTGCAGTCATCTTAAACTCCATAGACACACGAGCTCTGTAAGTGACGCATTAGGCTGATGGTCCCTGGTCTCAGCCCAGCTTCAGTAGGATGAGACACCTTCACTCAGACATTAACCCCCTACCTCTTGTGAAGCAGGGAAGGTGGCGAAACAAACCTCTCGAACACTGAACTGGGAAGGAAGTGGTGATTTATTCAGCCGGGAGCTGCGGCAGCATACATGCCTAACAGCTGAGCTCCCCATCAAAGAAAATCCTTGCCCTTTTGATGGCTTACAACTCTAGAAGTTGCATGTGAAAGGGTCCTGGGCTTACAACTCTAGAATTACATGTGAAAAGGTCTTGATCCATGAAGTAGGCGTGGGGTACTTGACTTAGGTGGAGGTCTAATCGTGTTTTAGTAAAAACAATGACTTCTGGAAAGATTCCTCCATGCCATATCTGTGATCTATAGATGAGATTGTGGTTAGCAGTAGGAAAATTATCCTTAACCTGGCTGGCGGTGCCAACCGGTCCCTCCTCTGGCTGACTTCTGGCTTCTTCTTTTGAGATGCAATGTAGAAGGCTAAAGAGGATTAAGGGTCTCCTTCCTCACTTGTGCTTGGGTAGTATCTTAAGCACCCTAAGGTTGAGCAGGACACTGGGAGAGAGGGAGACACAGGAATCACACCCCAAGGAAAACATCATTAAAAGAGAGAAGACATCTTAAAGAAGTGTGAGGAGGCTGGAGGCACAGGAGGCTACATAAAGATCAAGGCCCTCAGTAACTCATGTAAAACAAATAATGCTAAGAAGGACTGGGGGCTGAGAAGCGGGCTATTCTTTGTTGTAATTGACACTAGATTTTCAGTTTGAACAGAGGAGGGCGTCGTGCCCTCAGTCTAGCCTCAGTGGCCTGGACCTGCAGCCCGAGCATCACCTGGAACTTGCTAGATTTGCACCCAACCTCCAGGCACCAACTCTGAGTTGTAGGGTGGCTGGCACTCTGCGTTTCACACAGCCCTCAGGGAAGTTCTGATGCTCACCACGATTTTAAAAGGATTAATTCTATTATTCTCTCTACCTTCGTCCATGTTTGAAAATGTAAAAAACAGAAAAGAATGCAGGTCATGGCCTCCTTAATTGATTTAACCCATCATAATGCCTTGGCTGTAGGTGTCCAGCCTATGTCCAGACCAGTCAGATTCTTTGGGGGTGGGTCCTGAACTTCATATATTTTTAAAGCCCCTTGGGTAACAGTCATCTGTAACCAAGGAGAACTGTGTTCCTGCAAGGTGTTTTCAAAAGGCAGGTTGCACCCCACTGCTGACTGGTAAAATCAAGTTGGGAGGCCGTGGCTGTGTTTTTTACATTTTTATCATTAACATTTTCAAACATAACGCAGAATCAGAGAGAATAGTATTATAAATCCCCGTGCACCCTCATCCAGCTCCAGTTGTTACGAACATTCTGCCCATCTCGTTTCATCTCTTTCTTTTCTTGTTTCATCCACCCTTTCCTTGCTTCATTTTCCTGTTTCTGTTTTTGCTTTTTTGTTTCATCCACTCTTTTCCTGGCTGACATAAACCAACCCCAGGCAGTGAGCACTTTCGCATTTTGAATAGAAAATCGAAAGTCTCCGTTAGTCAAACTCACTGTGCCAAAGGGAAAAGTTAAAGCTTGGGAACTGAGTCATGCAAAAGCTGCCTTCCTCTTCTTCGCAAACAGACAGCTGTAATTTCACATGCTTACTTTATCTTATGTAAAATGTAGATTGCATAGTTTACTTTTCTTCCACTCCCCTCTTTTCACATGTAGATTCACTGAGTGCTAATCAAAGCCTCACAAGAATGTAACCACTGGCCTCATTGCCTACCCACCCTTTCTTTTCTTTCTTCCTTCCTCTCCTGCCTACTCTGTTCTCTTTAAGTATTGATGTCCTCAAAACTCTTTGGAAAAAGCACAGGCCGCAAATCCTACTGTGACTTGTGTTTCTTTCTCCTAGGTGCAGCTTCAACCTTGGTAAAAATAAACCTCTAAATCGAGATCTGCCTCCATCACTTTTTTTTTTTTTTTTTTTTTTTGAGACAGAGTCTCCTGTTGCCCAGGCTGAAGTGCAATCGTGCGATCTTGGTTCACTGCAGCTTCTACCTCCCAGGTTCAAGTGGTTCTCGTGCCTCAGCCTCCCAAGAAGCTGAGATTACAGGGGTGCACCACCACATCTGGCTAATTTTTGTATTTTTAGTAGAGACGGGTTTAACCATGCTGCCCAGGCTGGTCTCAAACCCTTGACCTCAGGTGATCCGCCTGCCTTGGTCTCTCAGAGTGTTGGGATTAGAGGTGTGAGCCACCGTGCCTGGCCCTCCATCACTTTTTGATTTACAACATGTAGCTCTAACTTTAAAGGATCCTTTTAAATATATATATATACGATTTCCATTTATCTTTTAAAATTTAATAAATCATGCCTTGTTATCACCTAATACCTAATTTATATTCAAATTTACCCAATCAACCTATGTTTTTTAAAAATTCAGTAGAATAGATTAGAACCTTGTAGAATAGAAAACATCGGAGTGCATTTCCTGCAGTAAGGGTAAGTGTTGTTTTTAAAATCATTTCTATTGCATATGTGTCACTGCATATTGTGTAGCCATGATGTAAAATACCTTTCTTTGTGCTATGGTCATAAAAAGTCAGCCTCTGTGATGCCCAAGTGACCTCCATCTTCTTCTATAGGTTTTCTCGAGCAAGGCTTAATGGTCAGCGATACTGACAGGCTGTGGCAGCATTACAAGACCACCACACAATTCAAGCTGGATGTGTTGTCCCTGGTCCCCACCGACTTGGCTTACTTACAGGTGGGCATGAACTACCCAGAACTGAGGTTCAACCGCCTACTGAAGTTTGCTCGCCTCTTCGAATTCTTTGACCGCACAGAGACGAGGACCAACTATCCCAATATATTCAGGATTGGGAACTTGGTCTTGTACATTCTCATCATCATCCACTGGAATGCCTGCATCTACTTTGCCATTTCCAAGTTCATTGGTTTTGGGACAGACTCCTGGGTCTACCCAAACATCTCAATCCCAGAGCATGGGCGCCTCTCCAGGAAGTATATTTACAGTCTCTACTGGTCCACCTTGACCCTCACCACCATTGGTGAGACCCCACCCCCCGTGAAAGACGCAGAGTATCTCTTCGTGGTCATAGACTTCTTGGTGGGTGTTCTGATTTTTGCCACCATTGTGGGCAATGTGGGTTCCATGATCTCGAATATGAACGCCTCACGGGCAGAGTTCCAGGCCAAGATTGACTCCATCAAGCAGTACATGCAGTTCCGCAAGGTGACCAAGGACTTGGAGACACGGGTTATCCGGTGGTTTGACTACCTGTGGGCCAACAAGAAGACAGTGGATGAGAAGGAGGTGCTCAAGAGCCTCCCAGACAAGCTGAAGGCTGAGATCGCCATCAATGTGCACCTGGACACACTGAAGAAGGTCCGCATCTTCCAGGACTGCGAGGCCGGGCTGCTGGTGGAGCTGGTGCTAAAGCTGCGGCCCACCGTGTTCAGCCCTGGGGATTATATCTGCAAGAAGGGGGACATTGGGAAGGAGATGTACATCATCAACGAGGGCAAGCTGGCTGTGGTGGCTGATGACGGGGTCACCCAGTTCGTGGTCCTCAGTGACGGCAGCTACTTTGGGGAGATCAGCATCCTGAACATCAAGGGGAGCAAGTCGGGGAACCGCAGGACGGCCAACATCCGCAGTATCGGCTACTCTGACCTGTTCTGCCTCTCAAAGGACGATCTCATGGAGGCCCTCACCGAGTACCCTGAAGCCAAGAAGGCCCTGGAGGAGAAAGGACGGCAGATTCTGATGAAGGACAACCTGATTGATGAGGAGCTGGCCAGGGCGGGGGCGGACCCCAAGGACCTTGAGGAGAAGGTGGAGCAGCTGGGGACCTCCCTAGATATCCTGCAGACCAGGTTTGCACGGCTCCTGGCTGAGTACAACGCCACCCAGATGAAGATGAAGCAGCGTCTCAGCCAACTGGAGAGCCAGGTGAAGGGTGGTGGGGACAGCCCCCTGGCTAATGGGGAAGTTCCTGGGGATGCTACAAAAACAGAGGACAAACAACAGTGAAAATGCAGCATTTGTCTCCTGCTTCACGGGATCGGCTGTCAGGGTGAGGCTATGTGGCTGCAGCTGCACGACATGGAACTTGGTCAGAGTTTAATTCCAGCTCCACTCACTGAAAGCTGTGTGACTGCCCCAGAGAGCCTCAGCTTCTTCACCTAGAAAATGGGACTCTGTTTCAGTCCCGGTGAAGTGCAAGGTTTGATTGTGAGGTCCACACGAAACACTGCACCAGGCAGGGCTTTGCAAAGTGGGAGGTATCCCCAATCCAAATATATGCACACAGGACTCTTACTACTTTTTTATGGAATCCACAAGATGTTTTTAGGATTTTTGATCTAATTTTCTTATAAACGAAAGATTATTTAGTCACCTTTCTCCTCCCCAACTTCACTCCACCACCACCTGATCATGAGTATGTAACAGGAAGCTGAACGTGCACAGTAGTGACTCAAATTCAAACTTACACAAGACAGTCTGAGACGTATTTCTGAATCTGTGATCACCTCGTGTGCTCTTTGGGATCCTAGGAACCCCCGCCTTTGGGAGTGCTATGGCAAGTAGAAGTTCTGTAGCATGGAAAGAGGCTGCCCCACTTGAGGTCACTTCAAATCTGTGAAGCAAATCCAGACTCCTTGCCATCCAGCCACCGTGAAACCAGAATCTGTTTCACAGAAAAGAGCATCTCAGTTAGAAGAGACATCCCCTCCTTCTTGCTTGCCAAAGAGAGATTCAAAGACAACCCCTATCCTCTATCCTTGAATCAGGACCCTGGGTGACCTATTCTAACTCAAGGAGAAGAGCTATGTGCAGGGAGAGCCTTTTAGGTTGAAGGCTAGAATGGTGTCCTAAGCCAAAAAAGCTGACAACTAAGACTTTTAGAAGACGAGACTATTAGGCATGTATCTCCGCAAACTGCCCCTTTACCCATGAAAAGGAAGCCTGAGGATCCCTTGGAATTGCATCCCGAGGCAAAGCTTTTAGCTCTGTAAAAGCTTGCAGATTGCAGAAATCAGCTTTAAAAAAAAAAAGGAAAAAAACTAGTAAATATAACTTCATTAACATTTTATAACAGATTTATGTTTTTGAGTTCTGTGATTGCAAATTATGACCGCAATATTCCATCCTTCACTTACGTAACATGTTGCAAATTACCCAAAGATAAATCTTTCTTCTTTCTCTTTCTTTCTTTCCTTTCTTTCTTCCTTCTTTCTTCCTCTTTCTCTCTCCTCTTTTCCTCCTCAAAATTATATATTTTAAAAGCCTTAACTATTAGTTACGCCTGCATTCATATTTGCACAGGAAAAATAAAGACCTGGATTTAAAAATAGGAATGATTCTTGCTTCAGCTCTTGCCATAATGGAAGTTTCAGTCCCAGAGTATGTTTCTAGGCAATGACTTCTCTAGAAAGAATAGGTGCTGATGTGGGGGATGGCACACATTCCAAGAAACTGACAATGCCAGGTGCTGTTAAGGACACAAAGCAACAGGAACTCTCATTCATTGCTGGTGGGCATGTAATATGGTACAGCCACTTTGGAAGACAATTTGGTCGTTTTTAGAAAGTTAGACATACGCGTTAACATATGATTCAGCAATCACACTCCTAGGTATTTACCTAAAAGAATTTGAAACTTTCCAACTCAATCTGCCGAAAAAAAAAAAAAAAAGAAAGAAAGAAAGAAAAAACTAAGAATTCGAAACTTACATGTAAACAAAAACATGTATATAAATGTTGGTAGCAGCTTTATTCATCATTAACAAAAATCTGGAAGCAGCAATGATATCATTCAATAGGTGAATGGATAAATAAATAGCCAGGCAAAGTGGTGTGTGCCTCTAATCCCAGCTACTCAAGAGTCTGAGAAGGAAGAATCATTTGAGTCCAAGAGTTTAAGGACAGCCTAGGCAACCTAGCAAGACTCTGTCTCTAAGTAAATAAATAAATAAATAAAATTTTAAAAAATAAATAAAAAAGTAAAATGGTTATATGTCTATACACTCACCATATAATCAAATACTACTCAGCAATGAAAATGAATGAGCAATTGACCAAGGCAAAAATGTTCCATTTGTATGACATTCTGGAAAACACAAACATTAATGATGGAAAACAGCTCAGTGGTTGACAAGGGTTGTCGGAGGGTGTACAGGCTGATCATGAAGGAGAGCACAGCAGGGAGTTTTTAGTGTGATGGAACTGTTTCACACGGTGTTGGGGTGGTAGGTATATGACTGTGTGTTGTCCACACTCACAGAACTGTATACCACAATGAAGACACTGTCATGTATGAAATTTTAAAATGTCAACCCAAATGTGGGCATACGAGGATGGAAAGAAGATTGTGACAAATGAATCTAACTATATTAAAAGTATGTGACATAACTTTACTGAAGGACATTGGGTAAAATGATGACCTAAGCAACCTTCAAAACGATGCTTTGATTAGAAAGTAAGGCTAAAGACAAAAAGTTGTGACATGAATGCTGTACTCTAATTGTACATTTGTTTCACATGGGGATATGGCTTACTAATTCAGAATTAACAGTATACTATGGATGAATGTATGAATTAGTGAATACATAGATAAATCCTTAAAAAAATGGAAGCTAGATTTACCAATAGTCCAAAAAAAGGTTACAAATAAGACTGCACAAGACCAGAATGAACCCTGTGGTACTGGATTGGAATCAGACATTACGATAAACTTATGTTTACTTATATATCCAAGTAGACAGATACAGAAACGATTGTAGGAGGGAGGCGGGAGGTGGGGAGAGAGAGTGTGTGTGTATGTATGCAGAGACATATTCCTAACTTTGTGTACCAAGAAGGCTTGGCAGTGATACCTACTACAGAGAGCACACCAAGCACCCAGATCTTGGTTTCCAAATATCTTTCTCCAATAAAAGGAACTAGGGCTGCTTCTAGGGCTGAGGCAGGGAAAATAAACCATAAGCCTGGAGTGTCTTGTAGTGCCAGAAAGTACTAAAAAAATACAATGTTAAGGGACAAGTGGTAACAGGGCTTTCTGCACACACACACACACACACACACACACACACACACACACACAATGATTGAGGTGAATCAAAGGGACACAGCAACCAACCTGAAAGAGTCTCCAGTGGCCAAAACTGAAGCCATTTGAGCAACAAAATTTAAAAATTTAGTATTAGACTATGTCCCAAAGTATAAAGGTCCATGAGTCTATGTCATAAATAAATGATTGAATAAATAAATTAATGAGAGAGAAAAGACAAATATTTTGTACAGAAGAATTCCAGATAATGTTTATAGATTGTTTCATACTTTCCACTCCAGGATATAAAGCCTTGTTTATGGATCTTGCACTGGGGCCAAGGATCCAGCAGCCTCTTCACTGCCGTGAGGGAACATGATCTCAATATCAACTGATCATGCAGATGAGATTACAGTAAGGATGCTGAGGTGGGAAGGTTATCCTGGGTTTTCCAACGGGGCCTGATATAATCACAGGGTTTCTGATAAGCGGATGCAGGAAGATTAGAGAGAGGAAGTCAATGTGCCAACGAAAGAGTATGTATTATTCTTATGGTAGAAACTTCATTAAGATTTTTGAGATTCTAGAAAAATGGTGGCAGTGGCAGTGTAGTTTTTTGGGCTCTCCAAGTCCTCACATAGAAACACAGGAAATAAGATAGCAAATCTAAAGATCCACAGACAACATCTGACATCCCTGAGAATATGAAAACACCCAAATCACCAACAGGCGCTCACTGAAAAGCATGGAGAGCCTGTCTAGGAACAACTGGAATTAAGAATTAAGGGGGGTTCTGCAGGGATCTATTTGTGGGTGAGTGCAAATGGACAGTGATGCAACAAGATTGATGTGCAGGGAAACTCTAGGTGCTGCACACTCTAGATGTTCACAGAATAAAGCTTCGTTCGCTATTTGAGAAACATCTATTCAGATCCTTTGCCTATTTTTACATTGAGTTATTTGCTTGCCATTGAGTTGTTTGAGTTCCTTATGTATTTTAGATGTTAACTCTTATGAATGTGTGGTTTGCAATTATTTTCTTCCATTCTGTAGGTTGTCTCTTCACTCTGTTGATTGTTTCCTTGGTTGTGCAGAAGCTTTTTATTTTGATGTAATCCTATTTTTCTATTTTTGCTTCTGTGGTCTGTGTTTTTGAGTTCACATTTTCAAAATATTTGCCCGGATCAATGTCATGGAGAATTTACCCTATGTTTTCTTCTGGTATGAAAGAAGCTTCCTTCTAAGACAAAACCCCTCACTGTGAAGACAATTCGGGGTAAAATCCAGATTGATCACAGGACAGAAACAGTTGTGACAAAAGAAAGAGAAAGTTTAGAGAAAAGAGGGCAGAGAAGCAGAGGAGATGCCACTAGTCCAAATATATTTTTATCACTTTGAGAAAACAGCCGTAAAGAGAATTAGAGAACTGTGAAGTTAGAAAATGGTAAATCATGTTCCGTCTCCTCTCTCTAAAGTAGAAGCACATTCAACTCACTTAGAAGATGAACAGCAGAAAAGATGCACGGTCAAATTTCATGCAAAGTCTTTATGAAAAAGGGAGCGAGGAAGAATCAGATGGAGTATAATGTCTCTGCAGATAATGAAATCCACCAGAAGGACACACCCACAGAACAGATGTAAACTGGCCCATCATTGCACAACCAGCCAAAGGAAATTAAGAGAATGATAGATGCTATTAAAAAACAGCATAGGGCCGGGCGCGGTGGCTCAAGCCTGTCATTCCAGCACTTTGGGAGGCCGAGGCGGGTGGATCACGAGGTCAAGAGATCGAGACCATCCTGGTCAACATGGTGAAACCCCGTCTCTACTAAAAATACAAAAAATTAGCTGGGCATGGTGGCGCGTGCCTGTAATCCCAGCTACTCAGGAGGCTGAGGCAGGAGAATTGCCTGAACCCAGGAGGCGGAGGTTGCGGTGAGCCGAGATCGCGCCATTGCACTCCAGCCTGGGTAACAAGAGCGAAACTCCGTCTCAAAAAAAAAAAAAAAAAAAAAAAACAGTATAGGCCGGGCGCGGTGGCTCAAGCCTGTAATCCCAGCACTTTGGGAGGCTGAGGCGGGTGGATCACGAGGTCAAGAGATCGAGACCATCCTGGTCAACCTGGTGAAACCCCGTCTCTACTAAAAACACAAAAATTAGCTGGGCATGGTGGCGCGTGCCTGTAATCCCAGCTACTCAGGAGGCTGAGGCAGGAGAATTGCCTGAACCCGGGAGGCGGAGGTTGCGGTGAGCTGAGATCGCGCCATTGCACTCCAGCCTGGGTAACAAGAGCGAAACTCCATCTCAAAAAATAAAAATAAACAAAAATGAATAAAATAAAATAAAAAACAGCATAAACCAGAATCAAGGATAAAGTGATTGAGGAAAAGAAAGATTTGACAAGAGCTGTAACAGAACTCAGGAAAGTACTGAAAATGAACAAAAAATACTTTGAAAATAAAGACTGATTAAAAGGAACACAAGAGCAAATAAACATAGCAATGTTTTAAGAGAAATAAAAGATAGAAAGGAAGAACATCTTAAAAATCAAAAAAGATGTTCCAAATATGACATCCTAGAAAAGACAAAACAATAGAAAAAAAAGAAAGAAAGAAAAAGAAAAAATAAGACAGTAAAAAAAAAAAAAAGAAGAAAAAAAAGAAAAGATCAGTGGTTGCCAGGGGTTGGAGGGATAGAAGGATGAACAGGTGGAGCAGAAAGAGTTTTTAGGGCAGTGAAAATGCTCTGTATACTACTGTAATATTAAATACATGTTGTTACACCTTTGTCAAAACCCACAGCATGTACACCACCAAGAGTGAACACCAATGTAAACTACGAACTTCAGGAGATAATGTGTCAGGGTAGTCACCTATCACAGCAAATGCACCTTTGATAGTGGGAAAGAATATACAGTATGTTGCAGGTATATGAGAATTTTGCTGTGAACCTAAAACTTCTCTTAAAATGCTTTTTTTAATCAAAAAGAAATGAAAAAGATAAAAAGAATTTGAGAGAAAAGTGATAGAGAATAAGCAACAAGGATCTAACATGTTACTAAGAATCACAAACAAGCACCAAGGCACAGGAATGGAGCAAAACCCTGGAACTTATCATTTAAGAAAAGCTTCCTGAAATAAAAATTAGCTTGAACTATATATTGAAAAAATGTTCTGCATCCTGAGAAGATTAAGCCAGAAAGCTGGCACTGAGACATACTATAGTAAAACTTACAGACTTCAAAAGAAAAGAAAAAACATTTTTGACATGCAAGCAAAAAGACAAAGTCCTTTAAAGGGGGATAAT